TCAAAGCATTAAAAAACACAGTTGCTTAAGTTAAAGTGTATCACTCAATGAAATTTGTCTCTGAATGTAGAAGTAATTTCTTCAAACAGCTCTGTGGAGTGGATTCAATCAAGGAACATGTCAGAACCAAGACAACCCCAAAGAGAAGCACTTATGAACACAATAATCACCAGTGGCTCTATTTGAGGTGATCTGGGGCTGATTCTCACAAATATGGCACCAAAAATCCAGTTGCTTTTGTCATTTTCAACTGCCCCAACAAGGAGCACTTACTGAATTCAACAGTCAAGTCAATGCTCAAGTTAGGGTAATATTACTGACTGCTAAACGTGTTCAAAAGAGGATTCTTCACCCAGTAACAAATGATCTAGAATCATTGTTCTAATATATTCCTTATAGGGATCCTTAGACTTCAGAGGTCAGCAACACTACCCCAACAAAAAGCACTTACTGAATTCATAACTCAAGTCAGTGCTTGTGTTTGGGTGATGTTGGTGACAAAGTTATGGTTAGCTGGTTATGTTAAAATGATGTGAAACTGACTCTGTTGAAGAACTCACAACCAAGACAACCCCAAAGAGAAGCACTTATGAACACAAGAATCATCAGTGTCTCCATTTGAGGTGATCTGAATGTGATTTTAATGCCGTCTCTCTTCAGTTACAGTTTGTGGCTTTTGACATGTACAACCTCCCCAACAAGTAGCACTTACCTAATTCAGACAAAACTCAAAGCTCATGTTGGCCAATATCACATACTTGCAGTGAGCAATCTTCCTCTCTTCTCCGTAGTCCAGATGTTTCTTTCTAGCATTTTCTGTGCTGTCTTTCCCAGTGGCAGCACAAGTGGTGTTTCTTGCACAGATCTGCCCATCTTAAATGTAGTTTGAAGCCATTGCCACCCAACTCCGCCTTCTTTTTCTTGAAGTTTCACTGATCTTGACATTGCGAAATGAACAATAGCACTATTTGTATTTGATGGACAACAGTCATCTTAATTCATGCATTCCATTAGAAGTTGACGAGCGGTCAATTAGACTCCAATGAGTTTTCTTGATGCAACTCATTTACACATGGTGGCCTGCCATTGCAGCTCCATCAGGAGTACTTTAAAGCAATACAAAGAAGCAGAGTTAGCACTGAATTTCTTCTCCAAATGGCACTTTCTGCAAAAAGACCCCCAAGACAGCTTGTGAGAAAGCAAGAATCATTACATGTCTCCAAAACTGTCATCTACATATAGGGTTCATGTGAGAATTCCACCCCAACTCATATATGTCTTGCACTTCATTTGCAGAATGTGAACAAAACTGACGTGAATCTCTTACTGATCCTTTTAAATGACACAGTTCACACACCTGAAGATTCAGAGGTCAGCAAAACTGCCCCAACAAAAAGCACTTACTGTATTGAGAAACAAAGTTAGTGTCTGTGTTCAGGTAATAATAAAGACTAAATGGAGATGTTGATGAGAAAAACTCTGTTGCATTCAATCCCATCAGATTGACAACCCAACTATAAAGTAATTTCAAAGCATTAAAAAAACAGTTGCTTAAGTTAAAGTGTATCACTCAATGAAATTTGTCTCTGAATGTAGAAGTAATTTCTTCAAACAGCTCTGTGGAGTGGATTCAATCAAGGAACATGTCAGAACCAAGACAACCCCAAAGAGAAGCACTTATGAACACAATAATCACCAGTGGCTCTATTTGAGGTGATCTGGGGCTGATTCTCACAAAATATGGCACCAAAAAATCCAGTTGCTTTTGTCATTTCAACTGCCCCAACAAGGAGCACTTACTGAATTCAACAGTCAAGTCAATGCTCAAGTTAGGGTAATATTACTGACTGCTAAACGTGTTCAAAAGAGGATTCTTCACCCAGTAACAAATGATCTAGAATCATTGTTCTAATATATTCCTTATAGGGATCCTTAGACTTCAGAGGTCAGCAACACTACCCCAACAAAAGCACTTACTGAATTCATAACTCAAGTCAGTGCTCGTGTTTGGGTGATGTGGTGACAAAGTTATGGTGTAGCTGGTTATGTTAAAATGATGTGAAACTGACTGTGATAGTGTGTTGAAGAACTCACAACCAAGACAACCCCAAAGAGAAGCACTTATGAACACAAGAATCATCAGTGTCTCCATTTGAGGTGATCTGGGGCTGATTCTCACAAAATATGGCACCAAAAAATCCAGTTGCTTTTGTCATTGTCAACTGCCCCAACAAGTAGCACTTACTGAATTCAACAGTCAAGTCAATGCTCAAGTTAGGGTAATATTACTGACTGCTAAACGTGTTCAAAGAGGATTCTTCACCAGTAACAAATGATCTAGAATCATTGTTCTAATATATTCCTTATAGGGATCCTTAGACTTCAGAGGTCAGCAACACTACCCCAACAAAAAGCACTTACTGAATTCATAACTCAAGTCAGTGCTTGTGTTTGGGTGATGTTGGTGACAAAGTTATGGTGTAGCTGGTTATGTTAAAATGATGTGAAACTGACTGTGATATGTCTGTTGAAGAACTCACAACCAAGACAACCCCAAAGAGAAGCACTTATGAACACAAATCATCAGTGTCTATTTGAGGTGATCTGGGGCTGATTCTCACAAAATATGGCACCAAAAAATCCAGTTGCTTTTGTCATTTCAACTGCCCCACAAGGAGCACTTACTGAATTCAACAGTCAAGTCAATGCTCAAGTTAGGGTAATATTACTGACTGCTAACGTGTTCAAAAGAGGATTCTTCACCCAGTAACAAATGATCTAGAATCATTGTTCTAATATATTCCTTATAGGGATCCTTAGACTTCAGAGGTCAGCAACACTACCCCAACAAAAGCACTTACTGAATTCATAACTCAAGTCAGTGCTGTGTTTGGGTGATGTTGGTGACAAAGTTATGGTGTAGCTGGTTATGTTAAAATGATGTGAAACTGACTCTGTTGAAGAACTCACAACCAAGACAACCCAAAGAGAAGCACTTATGAACACAAGAATCATCAGTGTCTCCATTTGAGGTGATCTGAACGTGATTTTAATGCCGTCTCTCTTCAGTTACATTTGTGGCTTTTGACATGTACAACCTCCCCAACAAGTAGCACTACCTAATTCAGACAAAACTCAAAGCTCATGTTGGGCCAATATCACATACTTGCAGTGAGCAATCTTCCTCTCTTCTCGTAGTCCAGATGTTCTTTCTAGCATTTTCTGTGCTGTCTTTCCCAGTGGCAGCACAAGTGGTGTTTCTTGCACAGATCTGCCCATCTTAAATGTAGTTTGAAGCCATTGCCACCCAACTCCGCCTTTTTTCTTGAAGTTTCACTGATCTTGACATTGCGAAATGAACAATAGCACTATTTGGACAACAGTCATCTTAAATTCATGCATTCCATTAGAAGTTGACGAGCGGTCAATTAGACTCCAATGAGTTTTCTTGATGCAACTCATTTACACATGGTGGCCTGCCATTGCAGCTCCATCAGGAGTATTTAAAGCAATACAAAGAAGCAGAGTTAGCACTGAATTTCTTCTCCAAATGGCACTTTCTGCAAAAAGACCCCCAAGACAGCTTGTGAGAAAGCAAGAATCATTACATGTCTCCAAAAACTGTCATCTACATGTAGGGTTCATGTGAGAATTCCACCCCAACTCATATATATTTGTCTTGCACTTCATTTGCAGAATGTGAACAAAACTGACGTGAATCTCTTACTGATCCTTTTAAATGACACAGTTCACACACCTGAAGATTCAGAGGTCAGCAAAACTGCCCCAACAAAAAGCACTTACTGTATTGAGAAACAAAGTTAGTGTCTGTGTTCAGGTAATAATAAAGACTAAATGGCGATGTTGATGAGAAAACCTCGTTGCATTCAATCCCATCAGATTGACAACCCAACTATAAAGTAATTTCAAAGCATTAAAAAACACAGTTGCTTAAGTTAAAGTGTATCACTCAATGAAATTTGTCTCTGAATTGTAGAAGTAATTCTTCAAACAGCTCTGTGGAGGATTCAATCAAGGAACATGTCAGAACCAAGACAACCCCAAAGAGAAGCACTTATGAACACAATAATCACCAGTGGCTCTATTGAGGTGATCTGGGGCTGATTCTCACAAATATGGCACCAAAAAATCCAGTTGCTTTTGTCATTTTCAACTGCCCCAACAAGGAGCACTTACTGAATTCAACAGTCAAGTCAATGCTCAAGTTAGGGTAATATTACTGATGCGAACGTGTTCAAAAGAGGATTCTTCACCAGTAACAAATGATCTAGAATCATTGTTCTAATATATCCTTATAGGGATCCTTAGACTTCAGAGGTCAGCAACACTACCCCAACAAAAAGCACTTACTGAATTCATAACTCAAGTCAGTGCTGTGTTTGGGTGATGTTGGTGACAAAGTTAGGTGTAGCGGTTATGTTAAAATGATGTGAAAATGACTGTGATATGTGTTTGAAGAACTCACAACCAAGA